TCTTGCACATAATTATTGAGGGCAGTGCCTTGCCCTGCCTCATACGCCTTCAAAGGTTCAGAATCGGCAACTTCCTTCGCCGCCTTTGATTCCGCCAAGTCCGCCTCAAGTTTGGTGATCGCCTCTTGGGCTAACTTAAGCGCAGCTTCGCTCGCGTCTGCCCTTTGCTCGGCAGCCAATCTGAGTTAGTTTGCATTTCTGGCCCTCTCCAACTCGGCCTCGGCCCTTGCAGCTTCCATTTTTTCCCTCATAGCTTCGAACTCGACCCAGCTCCTTTGGCCCTCAACTTCGGTTTGTAAGCGGCCAATTCGTTTGAGGGCGTCATGCTGGCGGCAGCCTATCTCGGCTATCCTTCCGACCGTCTACAAAATAGGAGATTAAAATCCAAAAATATATGCATAGAAGGAAAAGGAGATTAAATCCAAAAATATATTTTTACCAGAAGAGCCGATTGAGCGGCTAACGCTACTGCTAAACGTCTGGCTCCGAGTGAAAAGTCGCATTGTCAGACGGCAATGAAACTGATGAAACCATACTCAGCACAACGGTTGGGTGTTTTATAGCCGACGCGTCAGAGGAGATCGGCATATTTCTCATCTTTGGTTGAACCACAAAAGGCACAATTGTTTCCAACTCCTCTAAGCACGGCCGCTTATCGGCGGGCTCTTCTCCAGAGTCGGCCTCAACTTCGGCAGGACGTTTCTCCACCCGTCGTTCAGCCTCCTCATTTGCCGGCATGATTGGCTCCGACTCGGTATCTCGTATTTGAACCGTCTCCTCAATAACAAGCACGGGCGGCTCAACATCTGTGACGGGCGGCACCTCGGATTGATTGGCCTCTGCTCTCCGCCGCACGGCCATTCACTCGACATTTGGCTTTTTGGCGAGCTGTGTGAGTGACAACCAGCCATATCTTCAGGGCACGCGCCGGGAAGATCTTCTAGTCCGATAAAGACGTCGTCGTAAACTTCCCCTCGACCTGAGGTGGATGGAGGGTTAGCTGAATTGAGGCCGGCTTCTTCAAAGGCTACCTTTAAAGCCTCGTCTACTTCGGCCTCTGATTGGCCAGATTCTTCAGCGACCTCAACTTTCGCACACTCCGAGTCGGATCCTTCGACGCCGATTTGGCGCAAGTTTCTAAAGTTGGTCAAAATAAGAGCCGTTGGAAACTCCTCGCCCCTTGGAATCGGGATGTTTTCTGCTGCCGAGAAAGTCGTGTATGTCGGCTTGTATCGAAGCAGAATATGGGCCGCCCTCCCTTGTTTCTGAAGGCTTGGACGGCTGAAGTATTTCAACGCAACTTTTATCTCCGAGAGAACGGTGTCGTCAGTCGAGATCGAAACTTTCTTCAAATCTTTTCCTGCACAAGCAAAACCATTAGGTCCCAAAAGTGAAGCTTTACAAATATAACAAAGGAAAAATAAACACAAGAGGCTATACGGCCACCTGGTTCGCCCCTCCGCCTAGGAATAGGATTGAGGCGATCCTCACCTTCGCCGAATTCCCAGTTACCTTAGACAACGACCATAACGTCATCGACACTCTTCCCAAAGCTGGAAAGCATAGTCACTAGTTGATGGTCGGTGTCCTTGGCCCTAAGGAAATAACGACCGTGCCGACCGAAAGACTTGGCCAGGGCATATAACAGTGCCGGATAGTAGGAATACTGAGGTTGATCCTAAGGCGACGGTTTAGCGCTACAATTTCCATTATGATTCTAAAGAAGTTGACATTGGGTTGGGAAGGAATTAGACCCCAGTGGCAGAGCACGGCCCTAAGGAGTGGGTGAAGAGGGAATCGGACACCACCCTCTACGATTGATAGAAGAGGGAAGACGATCGTGGTTTTGTCAGCCCTCTCCATATCGAGGGCGTCGTCTGTCACAAGAGACAGACGAACGTCATCAGGAATGGAAAAATGGTGTCAGAAGCTAGAAATTCGATCCGAAGAGAGGAGATCTTTCAAATGTTTTGCCATTTTCTTCAGTTTATAGGTATATTCTAAACCAAAAACAAACCAGGAAAAAAAAGGATTTAGAGCAGAAAGGGAGAAAACTTACAAGAGACGAAGAGGATAGCGAAGGAAAGGAAGTTGCAGAGATAATTCGGAAGGAAGTCCAGAGACAAGTATCTAAAAGTGCGTATGTATTTGAAAGGACGTCCAAATTTTAAATCATAATAAATAGAAGTGTACGAAGGGGCGAGAAGTCGAAATGATGACCGAGAAGCATGTGCTCAGACATCTGCATTGGAATGAGGTCAGCCGCCGAATTTCGGCCCTGACTTTTCGAGTTCGAAACCAAGCACTCTAACCAACTGCCATTAGTGGGGTGCTGGGGGGCAATTGTGGGGGCCGAATAATGGGGATCGTAAAGAGGCCGAATGGATGAACTTGGAGAGTTGGAATATAAACATAGTATTCGACTTCGTCCCGCAATTTCAAATCCTACCCTATTCGATCAAAAGGCCGGTTGGGCAAGGGGCCAAGTGAAAAGCAATTTGCCTTAAAAGAAGCCGAATGGCAAACTAGAGGTGGGCCCAGCCCCGAGGCCCAAAAAAGAAAATATATAAATAGAAGAACATCAGCCAGAAAGAGGTATGTGAGAGCTATTATGCTTAACTTAGAATACAAGTAATCTTGAGTGTAGAGACTGACTTGCCCGTCGGAGTGCTAATTCCGGCACCCTCGACCGGAATGTTTGTTCCTTTTCAGGTGACTAGCAGAGGATCATTAGCATCCCCCAGGATCAGAAGAGTATTTCCAAACCACTTCTCCACACTATTCAAATCTTTGTATCTTCTTCCTTAAGATATCAAAGTTATTTCATCTTCTTTTTCTTCCTCCAAAACTCCAATCTACCCTATCAAAACTCACCATCGTCATCAACATCATTATTTTTTATTATTTTGAAACCCTAAGCCCTAGAAGAAAATTTGAACAAAATCAAATAATGGATGAAAGTAATAATCAACATAGTTTTTTGAAGCAACTCATCAAAAGGGAGGTAAGTATTCATATAAAGAGATTTCACAATTTTTGTAGAGCACCATCAATTATTTTCTATATCATTTTTTTTACAAAAATTAAAGGGCTCAGTAATTAAATTAATAATAACATATTATTGGAGTTGTTCTTATTTTGTCATTTAAATAGTATATTATTTGATAACTACTCTTTCTCATTAACATTAGTGCCTGATGTTTATGTGCTTATAAGTTTGGTTTTTACTTTTCCACGAGTATTCTTGTGGATAATTTATAATGTAAATTTTTTTTCTGTATTAAAAAATTTTATGATGCTTATGTAAAAGTTTGATTTTTTTTGTATTTATAATGCTTATGTGCTTGTAAGTTTGGTATTTTTTTTTATTTTATATTTGAAAATTATTTTCTATCTTGAAAAGATTTGAAATAATTTAAATTTTTTTGTTTTTTTATTTTTTATTATTTAGATTTTTAAATGTGGCGGATCGGTTCGGTTCGGTCGGTTTTGGCGGATCGGTATATCCGCTGCTCACCCCTACAACAACACAGTGAATCATTGTTTTAGGAGAAATTATTCAATGCTCCTTAGCTTAAAAAAGTGAATTTGGGGAGTCCAAGACCAAGCCCATTCTTTGGGCTTAGCATCATTCGCCAGCTCGACCCAAGTAGAACTCGTAAACGTTAATAAATTCTCCTGTGCTTAACCCGCTCAAGTCTTCTTGGTCTCCCTTGTTGTCTCTTCCTCTCACAAACAAGGAAAATGTAATATCTTTTAAATTTTTTATTAAATAAATGACTAAATGACTAAATGTCTCATATAAGCATGGAATCTATAAAATTGCGAACCTCACACCATATAGGCTATTTGACCATTTATTTAGCAGAAAATTTAGTATCTCTAATATTACCCCACAAACAAAACTGTTGTTTGTGTTGTCTAAGTTAATTTTAGACTCAGATTTCCATGCATTGAAAGCTGAAAGATCTACTATTGTCAATGGGTCTTGAGTCTTGACAAAAAGAAACAAAAGTGATGATATATAATACATAAATTTCCTACACAAAGATACTACTCTCTTTTTTTCTTCTTTTTCATTTTGAATCAAAATACACATTATTGTAAATTGCAATTTCACAAGCGTGTCGGTCACATTGGATGAATTTTTTATTAGTTTCAAACAATTTTGCATAGCACAGCAGACAACACGTTTTCTGTACATGTGTTCCACACAAGATTTGTTGTTATAAGTCTGTGTCTCTAAAGATTTGATTGAATATAGAAATCAAAATATTATATTTGAATATAGAAATTAGAATAGGAATTAAAATAGAATTATTTTGATTTTAGGAATCTTATCTTTTGTATATTGTTTCCTTATAGGAATCTTACCTTGTGTATATTGTTTCTTAAAGTGTATCATGAATATATTATATATACATAGTCTATACCTCATTGATTGGTAAACCAAATAATTCTTTTCCTTCCTTTTTGTATCATAGCCTCTCTAGCCGTCTCTCTCTCAACCACCCACCACCACTAATAGCCTTTTATATTTTTGGGCTACCGGGTTTATTTGGTAGCATCTATTTAGATAAGCCGTTGAGTTTTTTTCTAACTTCTTATTTTTTCTTGGACTTTGTGTGTTTTTTAGCCCCTCTTCTTTTACCATGACTGATCCATCTTTTGCTGATATACCCACCAAGCCTGTTCTAGTTAGTTCTGATTTTTCTCTTTCTCATCACACTCATGTTCATCGTATTACCAGCGAGGTGTTGAATGGGAAAAATTTTGCCGGCTGGAGCCGCTCCCTTAAACTCTATTTAGGGGGCAAGGGAAAAGCTCATTGGCTTTTATCTTCCACTACCCAGCCTACTGCAACAGATCCTACCCGTGCATAGTGAAATATTGATAACTGTACTATTTTGGGATGGATGTTCAACTCCATGGAAGATTGTATTTATCACATGTTTCTCTATTGCGACAAGGTTCCCGGTTTATGGTATGCCTTGTGACAGATGTATGCTCATGCTCATAACGATGCTCGTATATTTGAGCTCTATCAGGATATTGCTTGTGCTTCCCAGTTTGCCTTGGGTCTTTCTGTATCAGAATTCTTTGGATACCTTCAGGCCTGTTGGGAAGAATTAGTTCAATATGAGCCATTGACTGAGCTACCAGCAGGTGTTACATCTCCTGTGTCTAAATGCCTTGTTCGCCAGTATACTTACCAATTTTCGATGGGTTTAAACTCTGAGTTTGAATCCCTTCGAACTTAGATTTTAAGCATATCACCTATGCCCTCTCTCTATGAGTCCTTTTCCACCATTGATAATGATGAGCATTTTAGGTATTTGGTTTAACCGAATCCTTCTCCCCTGTCTCTAGTTTTATCTGATCAAATGGTTTTTGCTGCAAAGTTTGGTTCTTGGGGTTCTACTGGTCCAATTACTTGTCATTATTGTGGCATTTCTAGTCATGTTAAGGCTCATTGCTTCAAACTTTATCCTGAGTTGAGGCAACGTTCCTCTAACCTTCATGGTGTTGGCATCCCTCGCACTACGACTTTAGTAGATTCCGCTACTCCTGCTCCTGGGTCTCCTCATCTCCCTAATTTATAGGAGTTGCAGACTCAGATTGGTCAGTTTCAGGCTCAACTTGGATCTCTCACTGCCGGTTCTCCTAGCCTATCATCTACCACTACTGCCATACTTACAATAGGTACTTCTACTACTTTCCATGTTCGGTTGCTAGTCCCTTATGTGTTCTAGATTCTAGGGCTAATGATCATATGATGAGTTTTCTTTTCTTTTTTTGCCAGTCCCTACTACTATTGCCCAATCTATGTGTTTCATTGATGGTTCATTATCCTCTGTTTTTCATAAGGGTGTAGTGTCTGTTAGACTTATTTATTTTGATGATTTATATTTTTAATTTATTTAGAATAGAAAAATAGAATCAAAATTTATTTTGTCCCATTATTTCTTATCTAAAACTTTTATCCTAAATGCTGTTAGAATATATTTAATATTTGATTAAATCAGAGGTTCAAACAGCCCAGTACAATAGCAGGTCAAAAGGTTCAAACAGCCCAGCACAGCAACAGACCAAAAGGTTCAAACTGCCCAGCACAGCAGCAGGCCAAAAGGTTCAAGTGGAAGATATTCAAATTAGTAATGATGGAGTGGAAGATATTCAAATGAATACAATGGCTATAAACTGCTATAAATTCAAATGAATACAACGGCTGTAAACGGTTATAAATTCAAATGAATACAACGGCTATAAACGGTTATAAGTTTCATTATATATACCAAAGTCTCTAATGTAAACAAGTTACAAAAAACTAGAAAATATTTTTTGATCTATAATCACTCACATCTATTCTCTGAAAAATTCTCTGAGAAGTGTTCTTCAATTTTTGTTTACATCCTCTTTCAGAAATTATACACTGAGCCTTATAGCATTAAGCTCATCTTTCTTGTGTGAAATTTACAAAAAAATCAAAGCTTCATTTTATATATCTATCTTTGATAGATAATTATTGTAGCTTTTTGTGAAATCAAAAACACCTTCTTTTCAATCTTGTAAGAGTGTAGTACACTCAGTGTTATTGACTTAGAAAGTCTGTGTAAAATCCGTGGAGGATTGCTCCATTTATAAAGAGGTTGCTGGCACCCCCGTGAAGCTAGAGCATAGTGAAAAATCTCAAGTGAAGCTTGAGGAGTAGACGTAGGCCGAGTTGAAGCCGAACCACTATAAATTTGTTTGCCTCTCTCTCCCTTATCTCTTTATTTTATTTAAATTGCTGTAACTATATTTCACATTTTCACTGTGCTAAAATCATTAACTGACATAGTTGTTAGAACACTTGTTTTAATTATTTTTATTTCATTAACTATATTTATCTTTTGTGGTAGTCATAATTTTTATTAGGGTGTTATTAATTTTTAATTGTAAAAACCTAATTCACCCCCTTTCTTAGGTTGTTTTTGGGTAACAATTGGTATCAGAGCCTGGAGCTCTTGTTTAGATTTAACAATCTTGAGTTTTTTATCCATAGCAACCATGTATTCTACTTACTCTGCTGTTGGACAAGCTAGCAATAGGCCATCTCTCTTTGATGGTAGTAATTACATTCATTGAAAAGAAAAAATGACTTTATATCTTCAAGCTACCAATTATACTTTGTGGCTCATTATCACTAAAGGTCCTAAAATCCCTATCAAGGTAGTTGACCATATCAGTGTGCCTAAACTTGAGGATGAATTTGATGAGCGTGATTATAAACTCCTTCAAGCTAATGTTAAAGCCAAGCTTATTCTTCTATGTGGACTAGATGCAAATGAGTACAATAAAATTTCTGGGTGTATTACTGCTAAAGAGATTTGGGATAAACTTGAAATCACCTATAAAGGAATTAACCAAATAAAAGAGTCTCGAATTGACATGCTTATTCGTGATTTTGAACTCTTTACTATGGAATCATTTGAATATATTTCTGAGATGTTTTACAAATTTATCAATATTATTAATGGTCTAAAACCTCTTGGTAAATCTTATACTAATGGTGAGCTTGTAAGAAAAAATACTTAGGCCTTTGCCAAATGAATGAGAAGTTAAGGTTACAGCTATCCAAGAAGCAAAAGACCTAACAAAATTAGGCATTGAAGAACTCCTAGGTTCACTCATGGCTCATGAACTTTCAATGATGGATGGCAGCAAAGCGGAAGCCATTTGGGGAGAAAATGATGGAGTAGCCAACCTGTATCTCATGGCTCTTGGAGAAGAAGAATTCACTCAAGATGAGGTAATTTCTAATTATGTAGAATTTGAAAGTGCTGTCAATGAATTATATGATATATTTAGAAATGTTTGTGTTAAGAATTCTAAATTAAAGAAATTAGTTACTTCTCTTTCAAATGATGTGAGTGTTTTAAAAATGGAAAATGCTACTTTGAAAAATGACTTTACGTCTATTGCCAATGAGAAAAATATTTTGAAAAACAATGTTGAAGATTTAAACAAAACTCTTGAAAATTTTGTAAAAGGAAAAGAAAACCTCAACAAGCTTTTTGGAAATAAAAGATGTGTTTTTGACAAAGTAGGCATTAGTTTTGATCCTCCTACACCTTTTATGAGATTAAATGTTCTTAAGACTAATCCTCATAGACCCAGGAAAGTATGGGTACCAAGAAAGAAATCAAGATATTTTGTAGGTGGAATATCAAAGAACACCAAGGACTTCGAGAGGAAATACACAACAAGAGTGTTCAATCTAAAGAGCAAAATCAACTCCTACAAGAAGAAGAATGATGAAATGAAAATCACCAAGATGAACAAAAGAGGTAAATGAAGGTATAACTCCTAACACACCTTTAAGCTTAAAGTTCTATATTCTTTAAGGTGCGATTTGTGTACAATAGGTTATGTCTAATCATTGCTTCCATGTAACCTAATTGTACTAAGTTTGCTAAGTCATGTTCTGCTAGTTTCTTTCAAACATTCATTGAACTCAAAAATGAGAATTATAGTACTTTGATGAATGCCTATTAGAATATGAATGATTCATGTATTCATTAACATTTTATATCATGTCATCCATTGCTATGAAAAAGAGATAAGAAGCGATAAATTTTTTTGTGAGCATACTTTTCATATCTTATATATGACTTCATACTAATATGTTAATTCCTTTTTGAGTCATATCTTTGTAGAATCAATTTTGATGTCATAGTATGTTTTTGAGATGTATACTATCTATATTTTGAATTCTACATTTGTGATCTCAAGAATATGCTCAATATGAAAATTTCATGCTTATATGCTTTACATTGGAATATTTGAATGAGTTGTGAAATTCCTTGATTATGATCCATCAACAATGTCTAAATGAAAAGTATCATACGTTTGTAGAAACATTGCATCTATCCTATTGAATATCTTTTGAATATAGATTATATTGGCATACATCTCACGAAATGCTTTTGATTGATAAATTGTTGAATTAATTGTTTATAACATTCATGTTGTGTTCCACATTAAAAAAAATGTTTTATCACACTTGAGTATGTGGATTGAATTGATGAAAATGCCTCTTGATAATGTTATGTGATTAAATGAGATGGTTGCATCATTTCTTAATAAAACAAAGAGCATAACACTATTTTCTTATGTGTATTATGCTATGTGCTACAACTTGAAAATTCTGAAAAATAGTTCCGAACTCTTGTTTGATCATTGAATTATTTTTCACCTTTTGAGTTTGTAATAAGAAGTGATTTGTGTTGTATTTTTATTGAGTAATAGTGATTGTTCTATGAATGCTGTATTTACACAAAATCATATTAGAAAAGTGTAACACCAACTTAGGGGAAGAAATCATTTTGCTAACATACTTGTTAAACCATTTTGAGATGAACTCCTCATGAAAGAAAATTGAAGATTGAAAAGCTTCTAACTCATGAACCAAAGGTATGCCTCCTACACTCTCTTAAGCTTTTGAGGTAAAAATTATATCTTATATCCTTTGAGCTAATAATGTTATTACTTTGATATGAAAAAGATTGATTATGCTTCATATGATTTGCAATGTATACTCTTTGATAATGCTCCTGCCTAAGAATCATGCCTAAGAATCATGTCTATGCTTAAATGTGTGCCATATATTGAAATTCATGATTTTTCTTAGCATATGAATTGTTATACCTTGAACATGCTTCATTTTTTGGAATTACATTAGCGCCATGAGATTATATTGAGTTTAACCTATTATGACCAATATTTGGTACTCCACATAATGCTTGAGCTATGATTGTTAAATCTTCTAGATCGCATATTGGTATCCTTGGTAGATTGCATGTTGGTATCATTTTGGTATCCTTATTGGTAATATTTGGCATCCTATTTGATATTATTGAGTAGAACATTTCAGTTATGAGCTTTCATTTATCATATCTCCTATTGATTTTGCCAAATGAAACAAGAGGAAAAATTTAAACTAGATTATTTTTTTAAAAAAAAATCCCCTCAGATTCTATTCTATTTTTTTTAAAAAAAATCCCCTCATATCTTCTATTGCTTTCACATATTTTTTTAATTATCTTGTATAAAATCTGTACGCTCTTGCTAGAAATTGATTGTTAGATCATGCTCAAATCGGTTGTTAGATCATGCTCAACTGCTTCACATATACTTTTAACAATTTGGTATCTCCTTGGCTCTTGCTTGAAAATAGATTGAAATAACATGCATTCTTTATAATGGATAAGCTCATTGATTCATTGTTGCCATATTATCTTACTACAACAGCATGTGTGTCTCATTCTTGACCTTTGGAACTTCTCTTTATTGCACCCATGGCATTTACCTAAACTTGATGCTACATTGTGATAATACTAGTGCCATCAATTTAAGCAAAAACCCAGTTCAACACTCACGAACAAAACATATTGAAATTCGACATTATTTTTAAGAGCTCATGTTCAAAAATGAGATATTGTACTTGAATTTGTAAACACCAACAAGCAATTGGTGGATATTTTCACAAAACCCCTAAGCGAGGATTGCTTCAATTTTATTCGTGGCGAGCTTGGAATGTCGATTTCTACTTAAAAAGTTTTGTTATGACTGTGAGACTTGAATTTTTGTTAAAATGATATATGTGTATTGTTACATTGATATGGAAACATTTATATCAATTGAATGCTTTCAAGTTCTTCATATATTTATTCTCCTTAACAGTTTGCTATTCTCAACTGTGTAATTTTTTTTGGGTTCTGCATCTTGAGGTAAAATTAACTTTGCATACATTAATTTTTTTTAAAACCCTCATGATGGTTTTTTTTTTTTTTTTTTTTTGTATTACCATTCTAGCAACACCAACGTTCCATTACGTTAATTTCTGCTGGTATTATTTTATTTTATTTTTTTATTTTGCTATTAGGCTTAATTTCTTTTATTTTTATTTTTTTTTTTCTCATTATTATTTTTTGTTTGGGCTTAATTTTCTTTTCTTTTTTTTTTTTCTTTTTACTTTCATTTTTCAATACTTAAACATAAAAACAAAAACAAATCAAAATACAAATATTTACATAAAAAAAAACACCTTTATTTTTTCACAGCCATCTGCCGATCAAAATAAACATATTTACATAAAAAAAAAACAAACAAACAAACAAACCCTTCATTTTTTTACGGCCATACGCTGATCTTACTTGCTCGCCTTTTCCATCGTTTTCTTCTTCTTTTTATCACCTTGGACAACCCTTGACGCCCGTGCCCCCGTGCTTTCGTCGAGAGTGAGAACTCCCCGTTGACTATCAAAGGCCAAGAACGACGTTACTCCAAATCAGGCCATGGAGGTGGTCTTCCGTTTAAGCTCTTTATTTTCGGTCTTCAGTGCGTCTATCTCTGCTCGCGCATCCTTGTACATGCGCTGGAGCAGAGAGAGTTGGGCGTTGACCTAATGGAGCTCACTCGTCTTGTTCTGCAGTCGATGAGCCAATTTTATGACTGCAGTCACCGTCTCCATACAAGACGTCAGTATGAAATGATTGGATTTAATGTCTAATTGAGCTGCCATTATTTGCTCAATCGACATCATAGGAAGGTTGGGAAGAGTAGGAGCTGGGGCGCTCGGCCCAGCAGCGCTTACAGGATCATTCAGGTCCGGAAAAAGAATAAGGGGACGGGACGAGGCCATGTAGTAAGAGAGAGATGTAATCGAAAGGAGGGCCGTTTTTGGCAACCTTTCTGCTTTACTTAGTCTCTCTATTCTGTCTTTCTTACGCAGAAGACGAAAAGGATGGAAGCAAATGAGGAAGAAGAAGGCGAAGAGAGTGCTTAAGAAAAAGACGGAGGAGAAGAGGACAAGAGGGAGAGAGAGCCGAGGCAGCTAATTAAACCGTCGCGCTTTTGTCGGTCGGCTGACGCAAAAGCAAGGTCGCGTGTCTGACACGATTTTATTAGGCTTAATTTCTTTTATTTTTATTTTTTTTTTCTCATTATTATTTTTTGTTTGGGCTTAATTTTCTTTTCTTTTTTTTTTTCTTTTTACTTTCATTTTTCAGTACTTAAACATAAAAACAAAAACAAATCAAAATACAAATATTTACATTAAAAAAAACACCTTTTATTTTTTTACAACCATCCGCCGATCAAAATAAACATATTTACATATAAAAAACAAACAAACAAACAAACAAACCCTTCATTTTTTTACGGCCATACACTGATCTTACTTGCTCGCCTTTTCCATCGTTTTCTTCTTCTTTTTATCACCTTGGACAACCCTTGACGCCCCTGCCCCCGTGCTTTCGTCGAGAGCAAGAACTCCCTGTTGACTATCAAAGGCCAAGAACGACGTTACTCCAAATCAGGCCATGGAGGTGGTCTTCCGTTTAAGCTCTTTATTTTCGGTCTTCAATGTGCCTATCTCTGCTCACGCATCCTTGCACATGCGCTGGAGCAGAGAGAGTTGGGCGTTGACCTGATGGAGCTCACTCGTCTTGTTCTGCAGTCGATGAGCCAATTTTATGACTGCAGTCACCGTCTCCATACAAGACGTCAGTATGAAATGATTGGATTTAATGTCTAATTGAGCTGCCATTATTTGCTCAATCGACATCATAGGAAGGTTGGGAAGAGTAAGAGCCAGGACGCTCGGCCCAGCAGTGCTTACAGGATCATTCAGGTCCAGAAAGAGAATAAGGGGACGAGACGAGGCCATGTAGTAGGAGAGAGAGAGTGTAATCGAAAGGAGGGTTGTTTTTGGCAGTCTTTCTGCTCTGCTCAGTCTCTCTGTTCTGTCTCTCAAGGAAGAAAAAAATTGAAGAAAGTGATGAAGAAGAGATAGAAGAAGAGATAGAAGAGAGTGAGGTAAAGAAGAAAAAGCAGACGAGTGTGATTAAGAAGAAGGCTGAAAAGAAGAAGACAAGGAGGGAGAGATAGCCGAAGCGAGCGGCAATCGAGAAGAGCTACTTTTGTCGGCCAATGAAGCAAAAGCCAGGCCGTGTGGCAACCGTGTTTTGCGAAAAAAGAGAGAAACGCAAAAGAGAGAAACGCAGGAGAGTTGTGTGTGTATGCATATATGCATATATATTGTATAGTTATGTAATATATATATATTTGTTGATTGACCGTTGATTGACAAGTCTCGTTTTTGTCGGTCGGCTGACGCAAAAGCGAGGACTCATGTCCGACGCGATTTTCGACGGAAAAGAGAGAGGCACGCGAATCGTATATATATGTATATATATTTTGAATTGTATAGATGTCATTTATCCCTATCATTTTCCTCCTCCTCCACCAGATTCTGACTCAAGATTTCCTTTTGATAATGTCACAGGGGGAGAAATTATATGATGTTATGTATTATGGTATTATTTTCAAATTATGGTATTATTTGAAAACTAATATGATGATTATGTATTTATAGTTTGATATTTTAGCCTCATAGCATGTCTCTAATTAAAACTTATTTATTACACATGTGCTAACCTATGTATTTAGAAATGAATTCAGGGAGCATGACTTGAGGGGGAACTTTTCTTGCTCCCAAATCAAATCAAAATATCATTGTATGCCATCATCAAAAATGGGGAGATTGTTAGACTTATTTATTTTGATGATTTATTTAATTATGTTTTTAATTTATTTGGAAGAGAAAAATAGAATCAAAATTTATTTTGATGATTTATTTGAAAGGGAAAAATAGAATCAACATTTATTTTGATGATTTTATGTTTTAATTTATTTGAAAGAGAAAAATAGAATCAAAATTTATTTTGTCATGTGATTTCTTACCTAAAACTTTTATCCTAAATGTTGTTAGAATGTATTTAATATTTAATTAAATCAGAGGTTCAAACAGCCTAGCACAGCAGCAGACTAAAAGGTTCAAACAGCTCAGCACAGCAACAGGCCAAAAGGTTCAAGTGGAAGATATTCAAATTAGTAATGATGGAGTCGAAGCTATTCAAATAAATACAACGGCTATAAATTCCAATGAATACAACGGTTATAAATGGCTATAAATTCAAATGAATACAACGGCTATAAACGGCTATAAGTTTCATTATATATATCAAAGCCTCTAATGTAAACAAGTTACAAAAAACCAGAAAATATTCTTTGATCTATAATCACTCACATCTATTCTCTGAAAAATTCTCTGAGAAGTGTTCTTCAATTTTTGTTACATCCTCTTTCAGAAATTATACACTGAGCCTTATAGCATTAAGCTCATTTTTCCTGTGTGAGATTTATAGAAAAATCAAAGCTTCATTTTATATATCTATCTTTGATAGATAATTCTTGTAGCTTTCTGTGAAAGCAAAAACACCTTCTTTTCAATATTGTAAAAGTGTAGTACACTCAGTGTTATTGACTTAAAAAGTCTGTGTAAAATTCGTGGAGGATTGCTCCATTTGTAAAGAGGTTGCTAGCACCCCCGTGAAGCTAGAGCATAGTGGAAAATCTCAAGTGAAGCATAAGGAGTGGACATAGGCCGAGTTGAAACAGAACCAGTATAAATTTGTTTGCCTCTCTCTCACTTATCTCTTTATTTTATTTAAATTGCTGTAGCTATATTTCACATTTTCACTGTGCTAAAATCATTAACTGACATAGTTGTTAGAACACTTGTTTTAATTATTTTTATTTCATTAACTATATTTATCTATTGTGCTAGTCATAATTTTTATTAGGGTATTATTAATTTTTAATTGTAAAAACATAATTCACCCCCCTCTTAGGTTGTCTTTTGAGTAATAGTGTCTTTATCCTCTACCATTAATTTATCATCTGTTTTACGTGTTCCAAATTTTGCATATAATCTCTTATCTATTAGTCGTCTTGCCAAATAATTTAATTGTGTTGTCATCTTCTTACCCTCCTCTTGCCTTTTATAGGACCTAAGTAGAAGATTTTTCGCAAGGGCTATGAGCGTGATGGGCTGTACTACTTTGGGAATCCACCGAATAAGCCTTTATCTTCTTCCTTAGCTAGTTTTCAGGTCTCTGTTTTGCCTGCTTCCATGTCTTGTGTTTTTAATATTCAAACTTTAGAATTATGGCACACTTGTATGGGTCATGTTAATTTTCAGTATTTATGTCAACTTTTTCCTTCATTTAATAAAGCTTATAAAGATTCTAAATTTCATTGTGTGGTTTGTGAGTTGTCTAAGTTTCATTTAATCGGCTCACTGGACAAATCCCACATGAGCTTGGCCTGCTGGATCGTATCAAGTCTTTTAGTGTCGCTAACAATCTCTTGTTGGGGCCAGTGCCAGATTTTGGTAGCACCTCTGTTACAGCTGAGAGCTATGCAAATAATAAAGGACTTTGTGGGGGTCCTTTGAAGCACTACAAGGCTCCTGATGCTTACGATCATGTTTTTTACTTAAATGGCTTCGCGGTTGGTTGTTCGGTTTCTATTGTTGTAGTTTTTGCTCTGACTATATTTTATTTGCCCATTGATCCACTATTAAAGAAGATTATGAGTAGCAAGAAGAAGAAAAGAAACCAAGAGGTGGTTCAACGAAGACAATGGCGCCCAACTGCAATGAATAGAGTTGACGATACCAAGGTTGAACATCTCTCTCTCTCTCTCTCTCTCTCTCTCTCCCCATACATTTTGCATCTTTTCCTCCCTCCATGTTCAATTGTTTCTTGTTTGTTGTCAGTCATCCCTCCTATTAGAATTTTTGCTATTTCTCAATTTTCAAGTGGTGTAAGAAAAGCTAATGTAATTACAACATACCAAAGTTGCTATATCTTATGTTCTTAATTATAATTTGAATAGGTATAATATATAACCTCTTATTATGGTAACAAACAGCGTTCGTCTATAACATAACACATTGATAACATCTTCTTCTAGACTCAATTTCAAACACTTGGATTAACATGTTGTTATTGTTTTCATATCCAAATTAGAGTCTCTGTTCTTTCTTTCTAGACTCATTTTCAGACTATTCAGCCAATTACTTTTTGTTTTCCCTTGTAGTTGATACTATAATTTGGTTCACAGATTTCTAAATTAGAGAAGCTGGTTACTAGAATAAGCTTCACAAAACTTGTGAATGCTACCGACAATTTTAGAGAAGACAATATCGTTGGGTTAGGAAAGACAAGGACAATGTACAAGGCAGGTTTCCCAAATGGTTCGTTCCTTGCCATCAAGCGGTTCTGCAGCTCACAACGCTCTAAATGACTCTTTATGTCTGAGGTAATGACTCTAGGTAGATTGAGACACACTAATTTAGTACCTCTGATTGGTTTTCGTTATGAAACAATGGAAAAACTATTGGTTTACAAATATATGCCAAATGGTAACCTCTATTATTGGCTACATCCTCCGGCAAGCAAGCTCAAGATCATGAAATGGCCTGTCGGGGTTAAAATTGCTGTTGGGTTAGCAAGAGGGTTGGCATGGCTTCACCACTACAACAAAAAACTCCAGGTATTCCATCAGAACATAAGCTCAAAATGTGTACTACTAGATAAGAATTTTGAGCCCAAGATTTCTAATTTTGGGAAGGCAAAGTTCATGAACCCAAACGATACTGGTCTGGGTGGGATTTCTATCATGATAGATCAATTGTTGGAGTAGGATTCTAAAAAGAAGGATGTATATAGCTTTGGAGTTGTGCTTCTTGATTTGGTTACAAGGAAGGAAACCATTAACGCTTCTGCAAATTCTAATAGTACATCTTTTAATTTGCATGATGCAATTGACAATGCTCTGATCGAGCTAGGATTTGATGATGAGATCTTTGAGTTCCTTAATATTGCGTATAAATGCGTTCAGTCAATGCTAGAACAGAGGCCAACAATACTGGAAGTGTACTAGACAATGAGGGTCACTGGGGTGAAACATGGGCTTGTGGACGATTCTGAGATGTGGAATGAAACAAAAATTGCTATTGCTAGTGAGGGAGATAATAGGGTACACGAAATAGGCCGAACAAGCCTAATTCGATGTTAAACCTTGTGTTGATTTACTTAATTTTTAATGCAACATTATCATTATTAGGAGCACAACTCATAATAATTTGCTGGAGTTCTATATAAATTTGATTACGTGTGAAGGAATCATTGGTTGGCCATAAAACTTCACATCAGCTCTATTATTCTTCTCCGAAATATATGTTTTGTTGCCCTTCAGTTTTGATTTTTTTTTTTTTTCTTTTGTTAATTTGGTTTCCAAATTACAGAATATGAATTTAAATGGTCCTAGTAACACTCGTACTATCCAAGGTCGTGTTTGGGAATTGACTTTTTAGAGGTTTTTAATTTTTAATTTTTTTATGAGGTAAAAAATTAATGTGCTTGACTTTTTTAGTTGTATAAAAAATTGTGAATTACTAAGATGTTTAACTTTTTTTAATAATTTTTTGACTTTTTAATTCTTTTCTATTTGTTTATGCTTTTTAACTATTTTTAGTTAAAAAAATCAAGTTGCCAAATGGGCCCTAAATTGATTATGGGAGCTTAGGTATTTTTTAGAACTTCACAAAAAAATAAATAAAAAATGGAACAAATTTAAAAGATTAGAGATTAAAATGTAACAAAGGCATATTTTGATGATCAAAATACAACAAAGTGCATATTTTGAAAATCGTTGGGAATTTATTGGTTTAGTGTGGCTTATGAAAACTAATTGATTACTGAATCAATTAGGTTTATTATATCAAGGATCCCTACAATCAATTGTAGAATCAATTGTCATATTTCAATCTCCCTTATATTCTAATGGATTGTACAATCAATTGTGAAAGTTCAAAACACTAGCCACTAATCGATGGTATAATCAATTGTGGTCTTTCAATCCAATCGATTTTGCAATCAATTACGTTTTTCCATTCACTCCAATATGCTATACCAATTGATTACACAATCAATTGTGTTTGAAAATTTAAAAGTTTTTGTTAATGTTGTTATGATTTTTGGGACAAAATTATAATCAACATGCCATGTTATGATTCATTGATAAAAGTTATGATAGTTTGTTAATGTGGTTATGATTGTGGGAAAAAAAGTTATACTCAATGTGTTATGGTTATGAATCGTCACTAAAAGTTATGATTTGTACCACCAAAAGTTACGATTCAAATGTTACGATTCAAATGTTATGATAATTAATTACAAATAACTATATTTGTTATGAGTTCTTATCATATTGTTATGATTTATAGTGTCTTTGTTATGACACTTTGGTGAATATTATGAAATTGTTATGATTCATTGTAATATTGTTATGATATTACAATGAATGTTATGATTCTTTCTGTAACCTGTTACATGACCGGTTTAGCAGGTCATTGTTTATTATGTGGCACGATATGGGCCATAAAATAAGTGCATATCATATGCCCTTTTATAAGGTGCACATTGTAGACTTTTCCAATAAATAATGGAACAAATTTAAAAGATTAGAGATTAAAATGTAACAAAGGCATATTTTGATGATCAAAATACAACAAAGTGCATATTTTGAAAATCAATGTGTATTTGATCATTTGGATCTTGTTGGGATCACTGTTACACGTCATTTAAAAATTGACACGTCTCATTATCTTCTAGGATTTAAAAAATAAACAATAATAATTACAACAACACAGTGAACCATTGTTTTAGGAGAAATTATTCAATGCTCCTTAGCTTAAAAAAGTGAATTTGGGGAGTCCAAGACCAAGCCCATTCTTTGGGCTTAGCATCATTCGCCAGCTCGACCCAAGTAGAACTCGTAAACGTTAATAAATTCTCCCGTGCTTGACCCGCCCAAGTCTTCTTGGTCTCCCTTGTTGTCTCTTTCCCCTCAAAGACCCTGGTTTCCATGCATTGAAAGCTGAAAGAACTACCATTGATTGTCAATTCAATAGTACTACAAATGTTAATTATTATACCAATTAATGTATAAATACATGTTATAGCAATATAATTTTAAAATTATGATCCCATTTATTATACAGATTATAAATATTCAAAATTAATAAAATTATACCACATCATCCGTTAATATATCAATCGGTAAATATATGAATATCGAGTCTTGCCAAAAAGAAGCAAAAGTGATGATATACGATACATAAATTTCATGAGCAAAGATACTATCCTTTTTTTTTTTCTCTATTTTTTTTTTTTTTAAATACCCATTATTGTAAACTGCAATTTCACAAGTGTGCCGGTCACAATGGATGAATTTTTTTAAGAGAAATTACCAATAGGTCCTACTTTTGAGATTTATTATCTATTAAGTCCTATTGATAAATTTGTCAAGTGATAAATTTATCAATCTGTTACTTTTATGAATAAATTTATAGTGATAAATTTATTAGTCTTTTTGTTTTTATGAATAAATTTATTAGTCTCTTATTTTTATAATGATAAATTTATCAATTAAGACTTGTAGATAAATAAGTCTAGTTAATAGGACTGATTGGTAAGTATCTCATTTTTTTATCAGCAATGCTAGGTATCATGAAAAGTCTTTCATGAAAATAGTCATGAACTTTTGAGATTTATTATCTATTAAGTCCTATTGATAAATTTGTCAAGTGATAAATTTATCAATCTGTTACTTTTATGAATAAATTTATAGTGATAAATTTATTAGTCTTTTTGTTTTTATGAATAAATTTATCAATCTCTTATTTTTATAGTGATAAATTTATCAATTAAGACTTGTAGATAAATAAGTGTAGTTAATAGGACTGATTGGTAAGTATCTCATTTTTTTATTGGTTTCAAACAATTTTGCACGGCACAGCAGACAACACGTTTTCTGTACATGTGTCCCACACAAGGTTTGTTGTTATAAGTCTCTGTCTCTGAAGCTTATCTTCCAAATCGTTAATTTTTCCAATGTATTTGGTGCTATGAGTTCCAATCCAGAGACCGTATCTTACAGTTCCACTTAACTCCTTCAAATAATCCTTTTTTTTTCCCCTACCTACCAATCAATACCAAGAGGTTTCAATGCAAGAGTCCTTAGTACTGTCCTCAAAACGGTTGTCTGGTTGTCACTTATGAGCAACTTTTTCACAGTATCCAATGGATTTGGGAATGATATTTCATGCTTGAAATCAATAAAGAAGTCCTTGGAAGACCCTTACAATTACTTGGGCACTTCATGGAATTTCCACAACAAGAGTGAAGGCTTCATCTGCAACTTTACTGGAATAGAATGCTGGAGGAATGAAGAGAACAGGGTCTTAAATATCCGACTCTCAGGCATGGGACTCAAGGGTGAGTTTCCTCGGGGTATCATAAACTGCTCCTCCTTAACGGGTTTAAATCTTTCAAACAACAATCTTTTTGGAACCATACCTTCAAATATGTCCAGGCTGATCGGTTTTGTTACATCGTTGGATCTTTCGGGCAACAGTTTCAGTGGTGAAATTCCAAAGGATATTGCAAATCTTAGTTATCTCAATTTGCTTAAACTCGATAACAATCGGCTCACTGGAAAAATTCCACATGAGCTTGGCCTGCTGCATCGCATCAAGTTTTTTAGTGTTGCTAACAATCTCTTGTCGGGGCCGGTGCCATTTTTTTTCGATGTTACAACTCAGAGATATGCAAATAATAAAGGACTTTGTGGGGGTCCCTTGGAAAGCTGCAAGGCTCGTAAGAATGATGGTGTTGCTATTTTCTTGGGTGGCTTCGTGGAAGGTTGGTCGGTTTCAACTGTTCTGGTTTTTGCTCTTTCTTTGTTTTGTTTGCCCATTAATAATCCACTATTAAAGGAGATTGTGAGCAGCGGGAAGAATAAAAGAACCCAAGAGGTAAGAGTAATTATTTATTTATTTGTTATTGTACGAATAGTTGATTATTGTAGTATGGTTGGTACTTCAAGTTGTTAATTATATTAGAAAATGACAAACCGATTAAGGGAATTTCTGACCCAAATATTCAATTAGTTCGAACTTGTTTAGTATTGAATTGAGACCATGAATTGTACTATAACAGACATGTGTAGTATGTTATTATAATCTGTCTAGGAAAAAAATCTTAAAAAGTAATAGAGCATTATATTTTACATGAGGTCAAAGAATAATAGTGAAAAATCATTCTTCTTCCTACATATGAATATCCAAAACTGAGTCATATGGTATCTCTTTCGGAACTCATTTTCATACGTGTCGGTCAATTAATTTTTGTTTTCACTTGTAGTTGATACAAAGTTCTGACTAATTTGATTCACAGATTTCTAAATTGGAGAAGTTGGTTACTAGAATAAGTTTCACAGAACTCATGAATGTTACTGACAATTTTGGAGAAGACAGCATTATCGGGTTTGGAAAGACAGGGACAATGTATAAGGCAGTTCTCCCAAATGGTTGGTTCCTGGCCGTCAAGAGGTTCTACGATTCACGCTACTCCGAGGGACAGTTTGTAGCCGAGGTACTGACTTTGGGTAGATTGAGGCACACTAATTTAGTACCTCTGATTGGATTCTGCTATGAAAGAGAGGATAGAGTTGACAGATTATTGATTTACAAATATATATCAAATGGTAACCTCTATGATTGGCTACACCATCCAGAATATGACCTCAACATCATGAAATGGCCTGTGAGGGTTAAAATTTCTGTTGGGTTAGCAAGAGGATTGGCATGGCTTCACCACCACAACAAAAGATTCCGGGTATTCCATCATAACATAAGCTCAAAATGTATACTACTAGATCGGAATTTTGAGCCGAAAATCTCTAATTTTGGGGATGCAATGTTTATGAACCTGATGAATGGTGAATTGTTGGAGCTGGGTTTTGATAAGAAGGATGTGTATAGCTTTGGAGTTGTGCTTATTGAGCTGGTTACAGGGAAGGAAACCATCAATGCTTCTGCAAATTCTGATAGAACCCCTTTTAGTCTGCGTGATGCAGTTGACAAGTCTCTGATCGGGCTAGGATTCGATGGTGAGATCTTTGAGTTCCTTAGTATTGCGTGTAAATGTGTTCAGTCATTGCCAGAGCAGAGGCCAACAATGCTTCAAGTGTACCAAACAATGAGGGCCACTGGGAAGAAACATGGCATTGTGGATGATTATTAGATGTCGAAGCAAACATAAATTGCTACTGCTAGTGTGTTGAACCAACTGGGCTAACTTAGGTGGTCAACTACTGTACACTATTTATTTTTTATAATCACTGTTTATAATCACTTTTCTGAAATAGAGACCTGCAATGTACTGCTTGCTTTCTTAGTGTTCTGGGTTCTCTAATTTTATTTTATCATCCATTTCAATGCATATATGCAGAAGTATGGAACTTTCTGTTTAGTTTTTCATTTCCCCTTTTTGGTTTCAATGGAAAATTCCCAATTTTTGTTGTTTCTTTGTCTACTTCTCTGAAGTCGTTGTGCGGCCCTTCTGAATGCAGGGATTACCGTCCCTCTAAAGCAGCACTCTTTGATAGCATTGAAGAGGGTGACATTCGAGTATCTTCCTCTTACTCTCAAGAGATTGATGAGTGTAGCAATGACAGTGCCATAAACAGCCTGCAAGATAGAGTCTTCTTTTTAAAGAGAGTGAGTTCCACAATATCTTCAATCGTCATTTTACCAGTCAAATTCTTATGTGCTGCTTGTCCTCAAGCAAGCAGGCACTGCTTAATCATTCAAAGTAGTTTTTCTTTTGGTTAGCTCTCACTCATGCTGAAATTTTGGTGAATCAATGTCATTATAGCTAGTGTTTGTAGTGTTTACTCTTTCTACGTCACCATGGGTACCACAGAAGCATGTATTTAACTGCTGTGAAGAAATGATAACCACAAAAATTAACAAGGTCGATGTTTTTGCATGGAATCATTTATAACCTAGCTATTGGTGCAAGGAACAGTCAAGAAGGGTGCTAACATACCTCAATGCTGGGACCAAAATACCACACATGGGCAAGATTGCATTTTTATGTGCATATTTTAGCCAGATTGCATAAATTATGTTGTAAATGTTGTAGTGCCCAATTGAATAAGTGAAGTGTTTTTATTTTTTTATTTCTATGCTTGGACTGAAACTTGAGACTATTTGAATCTAAGATATCTTCACAAAGAAACCATACAATCCCTTGACAGTTAACGGGTGATATGCAGTGGAGAGCCATAACCGTATGCTGGACCGGATGGTAAGTTGGTTGAAATTGTGAAAACAGGATTAATTCTTTTAGAGAAGAAATTTTTCATTTTGGTTTTTGAATGGATTGTTCTTATAAATCAGGGCAATGAGATGGATGCATCAAGGGGAATCATGTCTGGAACTACAGATCGGTTCAAGATGGTAAATAAACCTCATCTGCTGAGCTCTCTTATTTTCGTTTTTGTTTGTCTCCTGCATCTTTTCTCTAAAGGGTCAGTGTTATTAAATTTGATGTCCTTGTTAGTGTAGTAGGTATTCGAGAAGAAATCAAGTCAGAGAATGTTTAAACTTGCGGCATGTTTTGTAGTTTCTTCCTTTATCATATATTATTTGATTAGGTAAATGTACTATCTTCACTTTCTTTTATATGACGTGCTACTCGGATTTTTATTTTATTTTTGAATGCATGCACCTGTGTTGCAACCAGGAATTAAAATCTTCCCCTTAGGGTGGCATGGAACCACTCAAGCTAACTGCTGGTGCTTGGTGTTTAGTGGGATAGACTATTTTGGTTTCAGAAAAAAGTTAGTTTATTAGAAATATTTGGAAGATTGGGATGAATCAATATTTGTGTTCATTTATTTAACTCATGTAGCAAGGGAGTATAAATTATGACACACAACTGAGTCATATGTCTTGTTTCATTGGGTTTCTCTTGATGAGGCATAGACGAGTAGAGTTCAGTCGTTGTTTTTGGTTGAATCTCTCGCATGTTAATGAAAGTATTCCACTTATGCTTGGCTTGAACAAATCCATTTGCATATCAGATGTCCAGACACACGATTCTAGCAAAAAGCACACAGGGGAGAGCGAATCTTTGTGTGTGTACGTGTGTAGTGAGCTAGCAAATACATGCTGTTGATTCTAATTGATCTTTTATTTGCAGGTTTCTGGGATATTTCGTGTATGGCTAAAGTTGAATTTTGAAGCCAGTCTGATGAACTCCAATTAAACAATAGAATTTTAATGCTGAACAGGATTGCCATTGACTGCTGGCGTTGGCATGAGTTTGGTTAGGTGGACCTCAATAGTGGTATAATTTCTACACAACTGTTGTTGTCTATACTGTTTTTTTTCCCTTTTGTTTCGTTTTTTGAGGAATTGTTGGCTATACTGTTATGTTAGAAGATATTTACAATTATTTATATGGGTTGTTTGGCTGTATAGACTATGGAAGGACTGCAAATATATAGGAATTGGTCTACTCTTTTATTCCGCTGATTTGTTTGTGGAATCAGGATCCTCTGCCGTGGAAGCTTGCAGTGATTCCTGCGGTGGTATTTTAAACGACGTCATTTTATTAAGATTTTTTTTTTCCTTCATCATAACTCTCTTTTCCTTTCTCTCTCATCCATTACAACCTAAACTTGACAGACAAAACCAGAACAGAGGAAATGAGAGAGAGAAGCTGAAGAAATAGAGTCGGCAAGGCGAGTCGGCGGTGAGGCTAGGTGAGAGAGGAGGAGCTCACATACCCTAGATCGAGGGTTTTCAAAGAGAGATCGGCGAAGAAAGCACAACACAGCCATGGAAAGCTTCATTGCCTACAACACAGAGCCATAAACATAGATCTGCCACTTGTATTGTTCCTATTTAATTTTAATGAACCCATTTGTTTTAAAATTTTAGACTTTTATGATAAAAACTATACAAATCAAATTTGGAGATGATTGTTTAACTGGGAAGCTTCTTCATATATGAACAATTAAATTTAAGTTGTGGGCTTCTTGCCAACACTTTCTGCCCCTATGTTCCTATTAATGTGTGAATCTTCGTATGTGTTGCCGGTGTATCGCATTGGTGATGAAAAGATGAAAAATAGGGGCTCCATTAACACAAAGGTTTGGGATGGAGGTGGAGGTGGGTTGCAGCAGCGAGGTGGTGGGTATAGGGAGGGAAGGGTTGGTAAATGTTTTGGGATGGCGAGCTCGCCGAAAATGGAGTGACGGGGAGATCTCCAGCGATATTTCTGTCCTTCTCTCAGTTTCTTCCTTCGCTTTCTTTCTCTATTTTTTTTATTTTTTTTTTGCCCCAAAACGACGGCGTTTTGGGGAACTGCAGGAACCATGGTAGGAAACCATGGCAGAAGATCCGAACTCTTGTTTGTGGTCTCACTTGTGAGGTTAGACCATAGTTACTGAAAAAACTCTTTGATGTGGAAAACTTTGCTTTCCCGGAAACTTGTTTTCAAAATGGGAAGTTGCCAAGAAATCTCTTGGAGAAAGGAAAACTTGTTTTCAAAACAGGTAGTTACCAAGAAACTCTGCTTGATAGGGGAAAGTGGCTTTGGCTTCAAAACAGAGATGAAACTCTAATGAAATTTTAAGGAAACTCTTAAGAAATGTTTGGGTGATGTTTTTGAAACTCATGCACAATATAAATATAAAGAAAGAAACTATTGAGAAGCTTGTTTTTCATAATTTCCACTATTTTTTAAAAGTGTTATTTTAACCAATGATATGTTTTTTTAGTAAGTTCCTAAAATATTCTATTAGTATTTTAATTGATGAAGAAAAATATTGTTATTCTTTACATTTCAATTTTAAGGTTCTTATTTTTTTTATTTTATTTTTTTATATGAATACTTTATGCCACCTAGTATCACATAGAGTTTACCATCGCTTGTAATATTTTTGGATCATGTTTTTTTCTTACTTGAATGATAATTTTTCTTTTTCAATCGGAACAAAACCTCACCTAGAACAAAGTACGAAGTTTATATGCTAGTTTAAATCCTAAATTATGTAAATCAATTTACTAAATGACAGGACAGCTATGCAAATATTCAACACTATATAAATCGATTCAATGAAAAATGTTTCGTTGTCAATGGTAAATAAGCTTAATTAGATGAAAAATGTTTATCGTCTTTGAAAGTTAAAAGAAATATTTTTTAATTTAAAATCTTAACTGATGCAATGTGCTATGCACCGTGCACACAAGGTGGGATGGATCTTACTTTTTTTTTTTTTTGGAACATGGGTGGGATGGATCTTACTCTCTTTGTATTTGATCTGTAATTAATTCTATAGAATAATTTTGTACACTTAATTTTTTATTTTTTTTTTATTTTTTTTTTGAGAAATTATAAAGAAATTTTTTTAAATTTGACTCTTATAACATCTTAACCTTTAAAATTTTAAATTTTTTCAATTAAAACTTTAAACTTCTGAATTAATCTCAATAACTACACCAAATTAGAGCTCTACCATTCATCAAATATCCTAACCATTCATTTTATTTGTTGCATGCATGCGCACACCTTCTTTCTTTTTTTTTCTTTTTTTTTTTCTTTTTCTGATATTTGTAGCATGCACTTGACCACATTAACCTTATTTCTTTACCGCCGGGATGGCCTGGTGGTGAAAGTAGCTTATTCTATATAGGAGTGAGTCAGGTTTGATTTATAAAAGATGGCCTAGTAGTGAAGGCAGCTTATTCTATAGGGGTGAGTCAGGTTTGATTTATAAAGGGTGTGAATCTGCTAGGTTATTCAACTGGCTTTCTACGGAGACTTCGCACTGTACTTTGATTGACACATGACTGTTAGGTGTGAATTTGCTGAGTTATCTAAATGACTCTCTACGGAGACCACGTACTGTACTTCGATCAACACTTGACCTCTTCTAGAGCGTGTATCTAAGCACCATTAGTGCCTTGGTGGTGGGTTCCTTTCTTTGGGTTAAATTAAATCAGGCCTATAATCGATTACTTTGGAGCCTGGGTCTACGGATGCAATGATGACGTAATCCTTATTTCGGCCTCATTTGAAAAGTTGACTATTTTAGTAGACTATTTTAGTTTTTAGTTATTTTAGGAGGTTAAAAATTTTGTGTTTGGGAAGATAGTTGGATTTTTTTATAGTTGAACGTAGGGGTGGGCGCGGGTCGATTGCGGCTACGGAACCTTCAATCCTCCATCCGTCTGCCAGATTGGTGGATTAGAGAAAATCAATCAGTATCCGTCCACCAATCCGGCGAATGCGGATTGAGCAAATTGACGGATAGATGCGAATCGGTTTGGCGATTCAAGATTTTATAAATTTTAAACATAATTAAACTTGTGCACTTCCTCAAAAAAAAAGAAAAAAAAGAAGAGTATTACAATCAATGACTTAAAAAAGTATCACAAGCGCTGCATATCCCATTAAAGAAAGAAAGTTTGAAACTTTGGAATATTACAATCACTGCGTGCCTCATCCACATATGAGAATTACAACATTTCTCATCCATATAAAGTATTACAATATGTGATTCTTAAAATATAAAAACAATTCAAACCACCAAAATCATGAACAGAGCAATAGTAGAGATTGTATGCCTCTATATTGTTACATCTATATCTATTTTTGAAAACAAAAACCAACCAGCATATATCATCTTTTTTATTTATTATTTTTAGAGTTAGATTTAAAAGCCAAAAAATATAGATAAATAATACATTTATTTTTTTCAATTCAAAAAATATATTCAAATTGAAAACTCTTTTTCAACAAAACATATTCAACAGAATATTTGAACTCTTTTTCAATTGAAAACATAAACAGAATATCTAAACAAATTGAAAATACAAAATCTTACAAATTACTTGGGTGCTTGCGGTTTGGCGGATCGGTTGCGATCAAAGGAATCTCAAATCCGCCATCCGTCCAAAATTAGGCAGATTGGAAAAAGTCAATCTGCAACCGTCCGCTTGTCATTACGCATTCGTCTAAAATACGGCGGATTAGTTCGATTCGGTCAATTTGGGCAGATCAGTATATACGCTGCTCACCCCTAGTTGAATGTAATGTTTGTGAAAGAAAAAATAAAATAATTATGAGTTTGATATGATAATTTGTTTTATTAACTATTTTAGTTTATTTTATCTTTTTGTAGATTCTATCAAAAAACTCACTTACCAAATTCAAAAAAAAAAAAAAAAATCTTACTTCATTCCCCTTCCACCATTGTTGAGACCTCAAAGCTTCACCAGATTATTGTTCATTTTTCCCTTGTTACTACTGCCTTCCCTTTCCCCAATTACAGTCTCCAACCTTTCACCCACCATTGTTTGAGAAAAACAACCACTACGAAGCCTTTGGAAACCTACTGTAAGCTCTTCAATCGGTTGTCGTTTCCGTTGTCCTACGATTGTGTTCGTTTTCATTTGATTTTTGTTGTGGTGTATTTGTTTGATGTTGCCATTTGTTTATTGCAAATATTTTCTTTTTTTTTTTGGGGGGGGAGGGGAGGAAAGGACTTCTTCACGGTAATAAAAAAAACATAATGATGCATGCAAAGTGTTTGACAAAAAGCCTCACCCAGATGCATTCTTGTTTCTTTCTCTTTAATCATCATCATCATTAGAAGTTTGTCACGACTCATTGCTAATGCGAGTTCCACTCCAAACACCTTGTAAGCGCATAAGTGTGTGAGCAGTAAGACATGCATGGTAGATCCTATCGTATCACCTAGTTTGAATCATTAGGCTTAATGCACAAGGGCACGTAATACCACTCGTGTAGCCAGCTTCTCAGGAGGATGATAAGCGCCTAATACATGACAAATGATATCAGAGCCAGCCTAGGGGCACTGTGATGGGGACAATACGTGAGACTTACACCAAGTACCTTCATTATGGGGTCCACACCAACGATACTATTCGCATAAGACGAGTTCCCATAGGTAGGGGAATGGACAAGTATACGCGCAGGACGAGTTTCCATAGGTAGGGGAATGGACAAGTATAAAGGCAACCAGGGTAATGTCCCTTGACGAGGATGTCAAGGATTGGCCTACCAACTCATTGGTAATGCGAGTTTTACACCAAGCACCTTGAAATGCATAAATGTGTGAATAGTAAGGCAAGAATGGTAGATCCCTATCGTATCACCTCAGTTGGGTCTTAGGGCTTAATGCACTAGAGTACGTAGGACCACTTTTTGAGTCGACTGCTCAAGAGAATGACAAAAGCTTAGTACGTAACAAGGAGTTCGAATCCTCTATCGCGTTCTCCTGCGACGGTCCATGCGGTGCCCCAAGACAACGTTGTTTTAGAGAAAATTTTCAAAAAAAAAAACAAAAACAAAACACACATATACACAGAACCAAAGAAGAGAAAGAGAGGAAGAAGATTCAAGCACAGAGGAAGAAAAAAAGGAGAAGAAAAAAGAATGGCATCCCACATACGACAACCTCTAGCCTCCCTTCACCCACAGCGTCACTGGCTACTCGACATCGCCGCCGCAACCCACCATTGCCACCTCCATAGCCGTGAGCCTCTCTCTCTCTCTCTCTCTCGTGATCTCGATGGCTAACAACCATCTCGATCTTTTCTCTCTTTTTCTTTGTCGCTAGTGTACCAGAGGGAGTTCATCGGTCATCCTCGTCGCAGTTCGTCGATTTTCCCCCCAGTTTCAACCTAGATTTGAAATGTAAAAAGATGTATTTATGAAGAAAAAGAAAAGTTTCAAAATATCTATAAAAGATTTGAGATCCAAAATCAAATAGGAGGAAGGGAAATTTTTTTGACTGTTGTTCTTTGCTTTTGTTTTTATTAATCTAATTTTTAGTCAATTTTGATTTATCATTTGGGATGTTCAAAGTGTTAATATGTATGTGTGTATATATATATATTAGATTAAAAAATCACCAACTTTTGTTTGAATGGTTGTTAATGTTGGTGTTCTTCTAGGTGTTCTTCTAGGAAGCATTCAGTCATCAAGCTTTGTACATTTGAAAAATCCTAGATAACAATAAAAACATAGATCATAAACTCACTGCCATTTGAGTGGTTGTTAATATTAGTGTTCTTCTAGGTGTTTGAATAGTTATTAATTTTGAATGGTTGTTTGAATGTTTGAATGGATATTTGAATGACGTTCTTCTGGGTGTTCTTCTTCCCCTCTTTTTCTTCTTTGGTTCTCTGTGGGTGTGTGTGTGTGTGTGTATTTTTTCTTTTGTGAATGTGTGTTCTCTTTGTGTGTGGGTGTAAAAAAAAAAAAAAAAAAGAGTATTACAATCAATGACTTAAAAAAGTATTACAAGCACTGCATATCTCATTAAAGAAAGAAAGTTTGAAACTTTGGAATATTACAATTACTGCGTGCCTCATCCACATATGAGAATTACAACATTTCTCATCCACATAAAGTATTACAATATGTGATTCTTAAAATATAAAAACAATTCAAACTACCAAAACCATAAACAGAGCAGTAGTAAAGATTGTATGCCTCTATATTGTTACATCTATATCTATTTTTGAAAACAAAAACCAACCAACATATATCATCTTTTTTATTTATTATTTTTAGAGTTAGATTTAAAAGCCACAAAATATAGATAAATAATACATTTATTTTTTTCAATTCAAAAAGTATATTTAAATTGAAAACTCTTTTTCAACAGAACATATTCAACAGAATATTTGAACTCTTTTTCAATTGAAAACATAAACAGAATATCTAAACAAATTGAAAATACAAAGTCTTACAAATTACTTGGGTGCTTGCGGTTTGGCGAATCAGTTACGACCAAAGGAATCTCAAATCCACCATCCGTCCAAAATTAGGCGGATTGGAAAAAGTCAATCTGCAACCGTCCGCTTGTCATTACGCATTCGTCTAAAATACGGCGAATTAGTTCGATTCGGTCAATTTGGACGGATTGGTATATACGCTGCTCATCCTTAGTTGAATGTAATGTTTGTAAAAGAAAAAATAAAATAATTATGTGTTTGATATGATATTTTGTTTTATTAACTATTTTAGTTTATTTTATCTTTTTGTAGATTCTATCAAAAAACTCACTTACCAAATTCAAAAAAAAAAAAAAAATCTTACTTCATTCCCCTTCCACCATTGTTGAGACCTCAAAGCTTCACTAGAATATTGTTCATTTTTCCCTTGCTACTACTGCCTTCCCTTTCCCCTATTACAGTCTCCAACCTTTCACCCACCATTGTTTGAGAAAAACAACTACTACGAAGCCTTTGGAAACCCACTGTAAACTCTTCCATCGATTGTCGTTTCCGTTGTCCTACGATTGTATTCGTTTTCATTTGATTTTTGTTGTGGTGTATTTGTTTGATGTTGCCATTTGTTTATTGCAAATTTTTTTGTTTTGTTTGGTTTTTTTTTTTTTTTTTTTTTTTGGAGGGGGGAAAGGACTTCTTCACGGTAATAGAAAAACTTAATGATGCATGCAAAGTGTTTGACAAAAAGCCTCACCCAGATACATTCTTGTTTCTTTCTCTTTAATCATCATCATCGGTAGAAGTTTGTCACGACTCATTAGTAATGCGAGTTCCATTCCAAATACCTTGCAAGCGCATAAGTGTGCGAGCAGTAAGACATGCATGGTAGATCCTATCGTATCACCTAGTTTGAATCATTAGGCTTAATGCACAAGAGTACGTAGTACCACTCGTGTAGCCAGCTTCTCAGGAGGATGATAAGCACCTAATACATGACAAATGATATCAAAGCCAGCTTAGGGGCACTATGATGGGGACAATACGTGAAACTTACACCAAGTACCTTCATTTTGGGGTCCGCACCAATGATACTATTCGCGTAAGACGAGTTCCCATAAGTAGGGGAATGGACAAGTATACGCGCAGGACGAGTTTCCATAGGTAGGGGAATGGACAAGTATAAAGGCAACCAGGGTAATGTCCCTTGGCGAGGATGTCAAGGATTGGCCTACCAGCTCATTGGTAATGCGAGTTTTACACCAAGCATCTTGAAATGCATAAATGTGTGACTAGTAAGGTAGGAATGGTAGATCCCTATCGTATCACCTCGGTTGGATCCTAGGGCTTAATGCACTAGAGTATGTAGTACCACTTTTTGAGCCGACTTCTCAAGAAAATGACAAAAGCTTACTACGTAACAAGGAGTCCGAATCCTCTATCGCGTTCTCTTACGGCGGTCCATGTGGTGCCCCAAGACGATGTCGTTTTAGAGAAAATTTTCAAAAAAAAAAACAAAACAAAACACACATACACACAAAACCAAAGAAAAGAAAGAGAGGTAGAAGATTCAAGCATAGAGGAAGAAAAAGAGGAGAAGAAGAAAGAATGGCATCCCACAGGCGACAACCTCTAGCCTCCCTTCACCCACAGCGTCACCAGCTACTCGCCATCGCCGCCGCAACCCACCATTGCCACCTCCATAACCGTGAGCCTCTCTCTCTCTCTCTCTCTCTCGTGATCTCGATGGCCAACAACCATCTCGATCTTTTCTCTCTTTTTCTTTGTCGCTAGTGTACTAGAGGGAGTTCATCAGTCATCCTCGTCGCAGTTCGTCAATTTTCCCCCCAGTTTCAACTTAGATTTGAAATGCAAAAAGATGTATTTATGAAGAAAAAGCCAAGTTTCAAAATATCTATAAAAGATTTGAGATCCAAAATCAAATAGGAGGAAGGGAAATTTTTTTGACTGTTGTTCTTTGCTTTTGTTTTTATTGATCTAATTTTTAGTCAATTTTGATTTATCATTTGGGATGTTCAAAGTGTTAATATGTATGTGTGTGTATATATATATATTAGATTAAAAAATCTCCAACTTTTGTTTGAATGGTTGTTAATATTGGTGTTCTTCTGGGAAACATTCAGTCATCAAGCTTTGTACATTTGAAAAATCCTAAATAACAATAAAAACATAGATCATAAACTCACTACCATTTGAGTGGTTGTTAATATTAGTGTTCTTCTGGGTGTTTGAATAGTTATTAATCTTGAATGGTTGTTTGAATGTTTGAATGGGTGTTTGAATGGCGTTCTTCTGGGTGTTCTTCTACCCCTCTTTTTCTTCTTTGGTTCTGTGTGTGTGTGTGTGTGTTTTCTTTTTGAATGTGTGTTCTCTCTGTGTGTGGGTGTTTGAATGTTTTTTTTTTTTTTTTTGGGGGTTAATTTTCACTTGTATTTTCACTTGTTTTCTTAAGTGATTGAATGGGTTTATAAGGGATTTGAGGAAAACCCAGATGAGAAAATGAGGTAAATCACAAAACCCAGATGGAGATTTCACAGAGTAAAAAACTAAAAGCACAGGCTTTCCGTCTCTTCCCTTCCTGTTTTCTCGCAAGAAAGTGGAGTTTTAAGAACAACCCAAAGCAGGGGTCTCTAGTGAGTTGGCCGGAATGTTCAATGGAGGTTGAGAATAATACCCACAAAAGAAATTGCAGGCTAGTTTGCAGAGAGAGAAAAGGAGATGTTGGAGAGAAGGAGATGTGTGGAGAGAGCGGGCATAAGTTAAATTTTGGGGAAAATAATAGTAACACTAAACAAAACGACCTCGTTTTTGCGAGGACAACAGGAAAAGCCGCAGGGAAGTGTGGTCAATGATCCAGACTCAGTAACAAGCTGGTATACATATATAATGCATGTATATGTATGTTTGTGTATGTATAATTATGGTGGGTAAATTCAATTTACCCCTCTCCAGTTGTGATTTTAAATGGAATTAGATGGATGATTTACAATGAGTTCAATTCAGAAATTTAGAGTGTTAATTAAAGAAATTAAAAAATTAAGATTTAATTCACTATAAAAATTAAATCGTAAGTTTTTTATTTATTTTTTTTCAAATTGTCTAAAAAAATTTTCCATTTGAGTCAGCTCTCTGTTTAATTTGTGGGGCCATGAGACAGCGATGTGCTTCCCACCTCCTCCAGCGCACGCGACCCACCAAACAAACAAAACCCTAAAATATAATTCCCAACGAACCCCCTCCACCAATTGTTTAGAAACTTTCAAAGAGACAAAAGTAAATTAAAAGAAAGAAAACGAAGGAAAAAACACAGCCTCAGCTCCCCAAATCACAACACTAAACCCCATCCACCAAAAGAAAGATAAAAAAAAAATTCCAAGAGGATTGTGGCTTCCAGATTGTTGCCTTTCTTTTATTGGATTCTTTTTTTTTATATAGCACATATACTATATATATAACTACAATTAGTTTTTCATGTTTTGAGTGCTTTATTCTTTTTTCTTTTTTTTTTTTCCTCTCTTTTGTACTTGATTAAGGGTTTTTGCATCTGTTCTTTTTTCTTTTTCTTTTTTTTTTAACTCTTTTGCATCTGTTCTTTGTTGGGTAAATTATCAATAGATCCTAATAGTTTTTTATATAGCACATATACTATATATATAACTACAATTAGTTTTTCATGTTTTGAGTGCTTTATTCTTTTTTCTTTTTTTTTTTTCCTCTCTTTTGTACTTGATTAAGGGTTTTTGCATCTGTTCTTTTTTCTTTTTTCTTTTTTTTTAACTCTTTTGCATCTGTTCTTTGTTGAGTAAATTATTAATAGATCCTAATAGTTAAATTTAATTTTCATCAAATCTTATTAAAAATAAGTCTTGGTAAAATTATCGCTAAAAATAATTTTTTTCGTGACAATTTTTTACATACGTCGCTAAAAATTGACAATTAATGATTTTTTTTTAATGATTTTTATAAATTGTCGCTAAAACTTACAATTAATGACTTTTTTTATGACAAATTTTTTTATAAGACGTATTAAATAATAAATCCGTTTATTAAAATCTCCACGTAAGTACCCCTTCTTTGTTCTCCCCCACTTTGATCACTTGTGGGTATGTATTTGTATTTCTTTTTTATTCATATCATTCACCACTCTTCTTCTCTTTCTTCCTCTCTCTTTACTTGATTCCATGAACTAACTGCTACAGTTCTACTCCATCGAATTCTCCTCTTCTCTCCCAACCCCAATCCTCTTTTTTCAGTAAACGTTCCTTATTTCTGAGTTTTGATCTCACTCCCTCAAAGATAGCTTCAACTGTGACAATTGCCCTCTCTTCTCTCTCCATTTCTAGCTGTGTTCATTGAATTTGCAAGTCTGGCTAATCGGTGGTGGACCGGAGTACAGTTGGGCCTGCCGGGTATTGAACCTGCCGCTACTACTTCACCTATGCTGAACAAACACGATCTAGACATATCTATGAGTCAAAGAAGTGCAATAAGTACTGGCAAAGGCGATGAAGACAATGACAGAGACAACGAAGATGAGCCTAAAGAAGGTGCAGTCGAGGTTGGTAATCGTAGACCTAGAGGCCGGCCTCCCGGGTCCAAAAACAAGCCCAAACCGCCTATCTTTGTTACCCAGGACAGCCCTAACGCGCTTCGCAGCCATGTCATGGAGGTGGCTGGAGGGTCGGACGTGGCAGAGAGCATAGCCCAATACGCGCGGAGGCGTCAGAGAGGGGTTTCTGTGCTGAGTGGAAGTGGCACGGTGGCCAATGTGACTCTGAGGCAGCCGGCTGCGCCTGGTGCTGTCGTGGCACTTCAGGGAAGATTTGAGATTCTGTCACTGACTGGGACTTTCCTGCCCGGCCCCGCCCCACCTGGTTCCACCGGCTTGACGGTATACCTGGCGGGCGGACAAGGGCAGGTGGTTGGGGGAAGTGTGGTTGGTTCACTTGTTGCGGCAGGGCCAGTCATGGTCATTGCTGCGACTTTTTCAAACGCAACCTATGAGAGATTGCCTCTAGAAGATGATGATGAGGTTGGTAGTGTTGGACAGGTTAGTCTGCCCGGCGCCACCGGAAGTTCGTCGCCCACTATCGGAATTAGTGGAGGCCAACAACCGCATGATTTATCTAATCCCTCTTCTCTGCCCATTTACAATTTGACACCAAATTTACTGCCTAATGGTGGGCAACTTACTCATGATGCCTACACTTGGACTCATGCCCGGCCTCCTTATTGAGAGAGAGAGAGAGAAATCTCATCAATCTTCAATAACAGGAATAAAGGATTAATTCTCATCAATCTCACCTATCTGTAATTCTATTGTATTGATAGGTATATAGGAAAAGTGTAGAAGAGAAAGCATAGTACTCTCATATTAGGCTTCTTTGTGTTTGCAAGATGGATTTCTTCTTTTGATTCTCTAACCTAGAAATTGCCTATGTATATTAAGCTTCTTTTGTTCCTTTGTGTTTGAAATAAAAAAATGGTTTGAGATCTTTTAATTGTTTTCTAAACTATATATATATATACATATCGTTTTCTTTATTCATGTATTGTACAATCTGTTCTTTCCCTTGATCTAGTTCCTGTTTTCGTCGCTTGGTGATATTGAAGTGCTCAAGCTAGGGTTACTCAGATTTGCAGTGCACAATCACAAAATCAATAAATGCGCACAAATGGATATCCATTGAGGAAATTATCCATTAACAACTTATTTAATGCTATTGAAGCAAGTTCAGGTGTGCTTTAAATTATTAAGGCCTAACTTCTCTCCAACCTCAGATCGGACTGGAGAGTACTATTGGGTCCATGGGAGTCTTCGTCTCGATAATCTGAACCGTTCAATACATAGAGCTCGTCGAGTACTATATGCTTGTAAAAAATTACGTTAATCGGATATCGATAGTTATTTTATTAGATCAGTTTTCTGTCAACCTTATATTTTTTCCCTGTCCATTTTTTTATTATACAAAACTAATTTGATCACGTAACTATCGATATCCGATCAACATGATTTTATATAAACATATAGTACTTGACGACGAGACTCGTAATGAGCTCCACAGACCTAACAGCATCCTCCGTCCGATCTGGGCTGGGGGAAAGCCAGTGCCAGTTATTAACTGTTGTTCCAAATTACAAGGCTCATCACTTTTGTGTTAAAGTGTTTGAAGACAATATAAATATATCAATTAGTAAATTATTATTTATTCATGTAAAATTTTGTATCAAATCCATATTTGTATTGTCATCATTAAGAAGGGAGAGATTATTAATTATGTGATTTAATTTGTTAATAAATGGGAAGAAAATACAATACAAATAAATACATGTATTATGATTGTTAAATATTTTTTTTGCATTTATTCATATAAAATTTTGTGTCAAATCCATACTTATATTGCCATCATTAAAAAGAGAGAGATTGTTAATCATGTGATTTAATTTTGATGATGTCTAAAATATTATGTGATAAATTATGATTTTTTAATATACATATTTTATATTCTTTGACACAAAATATTATATGTTTAAAATATATGTTGTATGATGTATTTGTTAGAAATATTATTTAAATCAAAATTACTGTGCTAGATCTGATTTTACAAAAATATTTTATAAAATTTACTATTCACGTTTTGAAAAATACGGTTGGTCACTGTATATCTTTTGACAAATTTGATATTGATTGGTTATATTTTATTTTTATTTTTTTGGAGAAATGTGAGTTTTTTCTTTTAATAAAATTTGATATACTCACATAGGGTGGTAGATTGTTTTTATTAGAGTATTTAAAATCTCTACAATAATTATAAAAATTTTAAAAGAAATATATATTTTCATATGTGATATAAATATTATTTAAAGAGATTATACTATACATATAAATATTTTAATAGAAATGTTACTATACAATCACCGTTTACTGTGAGAAATTTGAAAATTTACTATCACTAAGTCATCTAAAGCAACCTAACCTCTATTTTCAAACACAAATGTTGAAAAAAAAAGGGTTGCCTGGTGTGTATTTTGCACAAGCTGCCTAGTCAAGAAGAGGAGGGTGGAGCTCCACGTGATTTGTGCAAGTCAGAGAAGGAGTGTGTCTTCCTAACGGATATATTTTTGGATATATATAGTAGTATTTTGGTTGAAAAAAAATAAGAAGAGAAGAAAAGAAAAAATTGGTGATATTTATTTGTTCTCATTAATTTTGATGATGTCTAAAATATTATGTGATAAATTATGATTTTTTAATATACATATTTTATATTCTTTGACACAAAATATTATATGTTTAAAATATATGTTGTATGATGTATTTGTTAGAAATATTATTTAAATCAAAATTACTGTGCTAGATCTGATTTTACAAAAATATTTTATAAAATTTACTATTCACGTTTTGAAAAATACGGTTGGTCACTGTATATCTTTTGACAAATTTGATATTGATTGGTTATATTTTATTTTTATTTTTTTGGAGAAATGTGAGTTTTTTCTTTTAATAAAATTTGATATACTCACATAGGGTGGTAGATTGTTTTTATTAGAGTATTTAAAATCTCTACAATAATTATAAAAATTTTAAAAGAAATATATATTTTCATATGTGATATAAATATTATTTAAAGAGATTATACTATACATATAAATATTTTAATAGAAATGTTACTATACAATCACTGTTTACTGTGAGAAATTTGAAAATTTACTATCACTAAGGCCTCGTTTGGCAAGAGGCTATTTTAGCCAATTAGTCAAAAAGTTACTAAATTAGCCAAAAAGCCAACAACCCATGCCAAAAAGTCAAAGATTCTCTTTTCTCTCTACTTTTTGCACATCTTTTTGTAATTAGTCAAAAAGTCATTCCAAACATACACGTTTTTTTTACCTATCTTTTTAGCCAAATAGCCAAAAAGTTACTAAATTAGCCTGTTCCCAAACGAGGCCTAAGTCATCTAAAGCAACCTAACCTATATTTTCAAACACAAATGTTGAAAAAAAAAGGGTTGCCTGGTGTGTATTTTGCACAAGCTGCCTAGTCAAGAAGAGGAGGGTGGAGTCTTGTCTCCACGTGATTTGTGCAAGTCAGAGGAGTGTGTCTTCCTAACGGATATATTTTTGGATATCAGCAATGATAGAGACCCCCTTTGTGGAGGACCCCCACAACCCCCTTTGTGATCCACACCATTCATGATGTGGACCCCACACATACAGATGTGGGCCCCACACATCATGAATGGTGTAGATCAGTAAGGGGGTTGTGGGGGTCCTCCACAAAGGGGATCTGACTCATTTTTCTTTTGGATATATATAGTAGTATTTTGGTTGAAGAAAAATAAGAAGAGAAGAAAAGAAAAAATTTGTGATATTTATTTGTTCTCAAAATATTATTGTGCTTCATTGAGTTGTATTTTCTGTGAAAAAATTTGTTAGGAATTTGAACAAAATTACAAAAGGGTTTTCTATCCCTTATTCTTATTATTGTTGTAAAAAACAGAGAGTTTTTGTGAGTGATTTTTCAGGATGAAATCACTTAGATTAGGTGAGACCAGACACCAGATTCAAAAATAGTCGGTTATTTTTGTGAGTGATTTTCAAGATAAAATTACTTGGTTAGGTGTAACTAGACACCGGATTCTAAATTAGTCTGTAAAGGCTCACTAGTACCCGTGAAACTAGTAGTGTAATTACTATTTGAAAAATAGTGGAGAAATTTTCAAGGAGAATACTTGGGGAGTGAACGTAGGCCCAACGTGCCGAACCACTATAAATGTCAGTGTTTGATTTTCTCTTCCTATCTCTTTTACTTTTTAATAATTATTGTTCTGTTTTTTATTTGTTAAAATTTGAATATCATATTTATTATTTTTAATAACCTAATTCACCCCTCTTAAGTTGACTACCTAGGATAACATGGTATTTCTGACCAATGAAAAATGATAACATAAACTAACTAAGTAGTTTTATATCTTCTAATTATTTAACAAAGGTAAGTTAAGCACATCTCATTTATAAAAAAAATTCACCGTGATTAATTATATAGACAGTATCTCCTAATATTTTAAAATTAATAAATAAATACTTGAATGGAATAGAACATTGAGCAATAAATAATATATTTTATTGATTTTTGTCTCTCTTTGAGAGTTATTTTAATGTCACTGTTGTCATAAATTGCATTATGTATTTTCTTTCTTTCCTCAAGAAAGTCTTTGACATGTAATTATTCAATAATCTCAAAATATAAACGGCAGTGTTACGTAACTGTCTTTTTTCTGTATTTTTGTTCAATCAGAAACAAAGAGGGGAGAAGAAGAAGAGCGGAGGAGAAGAAGAAGAAGAAGAAGAAGAAGAAGAAGGGAAGGGAGAAGGGAGAAGGGAGAACTGGACAGGAGGGGGCCTCAACCAGTGGCGGAGGAGCGGCGGAGGCGGTGGTGCTGCGACGAGCTGTGATCGGTGAGGCAGTAGTGCTGCGACTGTGACGATCGGCGAGGAGGTGGTGCTGCGACGATCGGCAGTAGTGGTGCTGCCTCCTCCTCTTTCTCTTCTCCTCTCTTCTTCCTCTCTTCTCTCCCTCTTTCTCCTCTCCTCTTCCCTCTGTTTGTGCAGAGCTCCTTTGCTTGAAAAGGAAAAAAAAATTCGAGCCTCTCAATTTCGAGCTCTGAGTCATTTTCCAAATATAAATACGTGATATTTCATAATATTATGATTAGTGAAAAAAGTGAGTAGATGGGGTATTGTATTGAATGATTGGAAAACATGAGAAGACATATTAAATGATGATTGATTAGGGAGTATAGACACGTGGTACTCCAAGAATATTGAATAATTTCCCTAGTCTGACCCAGTTGTAGGAAGCAGGAGGCAGGTTTAAAGACAATGTGTTGAAAAATTGCTTAAGATATTATTCAGAATTTATATTATATCAATCAGATTTATAAAATACATTTTAAATGTAATTCATAATATATCAAGTTTGAATTCACATTTTTTGGATAAATTCTGAGATAAAATTTTTGGGTATTTATTTTTTCTGTTTAAAGAATAAGCCTCCTTGGCTGTTTGTTCGAAAGATTATCTATTGTTAAATTTTTTGAAGTATTTTTAAATGAAGCATATGTTGTTATGGTTTTGGTGGAAATCCAAAGATACTGACAGAAGTGGCTTGGCATGTGTAGAGGGACCTCTATTCATGGTTTTTTCTTTTTTTTAAATAACTTGATATCCGGTCTACTATATTGATTAATCTGAGAGATTAATTCCATTATTGACTAGCAGGAGACCCAATTAAAATTGAGACAAAATCCTATATGGATTGATTCTAAAAATCTGAGAGATTAATTCCATTATTCACTAGCAGGAGACCCAATTAAAATTGAGACAATTAAAATTGAGACAAATTCCTATATGGATTGATTCTAAAAAAATATTTGAACTTGGGAGATTTTGAATCTGAAGCTTTGGAACAATCTCTATGCGTGTTAATGATAATAATACA